ACAGGAATTTCAGCCATTGGAGTTCTATGGCTCAACTTGTAAATGGAAATTTCTGCTGTAGTTAATGAGCAATTAACTAAGATACAATATACTAAAAAATGTTATTCACACATGGATAACTTGGTAGCAATGCAGAAAGTCTTAAAGATTACCAAATAGAAGAACAGAAAAAATTTTTTTTTTATATCCTTAAAAATCAATTCCATTAACCTTACAAATAGATAAGTCACAACTTAAATATGTGCATTTTCTGTGATATTAAGTTATAGAAATGACAGGATTCTATTAATTTCAAAAAATGTACTATGAAATTTTTAATAAATAAAAAAAAGCCATAAAACTTCCAAGAATCAATATATGGGGAAAACTAAAGAAAATGAAACAAAATTTAAGGTTACAAGGCATCGTCAATGTAACAGAAAATCTGTGACACTCAATTAGGATTTAAAATACTACCTCACACAATACTGTAAGAATTCTAAGTAAAATTGCTGACTACTTGTGAAATTCTTTTTTTTGTTATAATCATTTCACTCCAAGCAAAGCGATAATGCAAAGGGTTACTGGAAGTGAAAGAAAACTTTAGTAAGGAGAAAGGACAATAAAAGAACAGGATTCAAAAGAGAAAATGTCAATTGATGTTACATTTAAATTTTTAAAGATTGTCTGACAGGATAGAAAGAAATCAGAAGTGAATTCCACAGGTGAGAAAAGAAATTATTAAAATAGAACTTAAATTATATTTAGCTATTTCAACAGTAAAATGATAAGACCTTGTTGCAAATCTAGTACTACACTTAAATTCATGTGATAGAAGTACCAAGGAGGAGAACTCCTTAAAACAACTACTATGAAAATATTTATAGAAAAGACAGAGGGAAGCCAGAGTAAGATGACTGAAGTTGAGATGTTAGGACAGATTACAGGCACATTTTTTTAATTGTCAAGAATCTCAAGATATATAACAAAAGAATCAAACCAGATATCGTAGCATTATTCAATGCACTGACAAATGGTAGATTTATATATAAGATGAATTCTAACAAGAAAAATTGTCTGGCACAGACAGTGAATCAACTTTCCTAGCAGCAGACCTAGGAATTGATTCAGTAGAATCACTCTTCATGTCAGTGGAAAATGTGAGAACAACAAGGCACAATAAGATGCTCTCCTGATGGAAAGCAAAAATAATTCTCTAACATGCCTAACAGATAACAGTTTTGTTTTAGAGGTGTTAAAATTTACAAGCCATTTCTTGCCCCAGTTAACCACACTTTGGGGGTCTTTTTTGAGTACAGCTGCCAGTTTTACTTTGTCAGACCTACTGGACTTACTATTAAGACAGGAGTAAATCATTGTCATAAGTACCTAGTTGGGAACTGATGATATCGGGAAGGTCATTGATGAAAATAAGAAACAAGTATAGAGCCCTGGCGGACACCTGCTTTAATGTGAAATGATCTAGAAGTGTGTTCATTCAATACAATCTTCATTACGTAATTTAAGAAGGATGAGATTAAGTCAAATATTCATCCAGAAACACCATAGTTCTTGAGCTTGTGAAGAAAGCTAGCATGAAAAACCCTGTCAAATGCCTTTGAGATATCTAAAACCATAACCCAATTCTCATCATTCTTATTTAAAGCCTGATAGACAAATTCAGTGATAATAGTTAATACATTGGTGGTCGACCTAGAGAACACCAAATCGTTTATATGAAAGATGTGTGAAGTGAGATGATTAATCAATTTGGAGTTGATTAGAGCATATAGTACTTTGCCAAAAAAGGTAAACATCTAATAGGATGATAATTTGAAGGATCAGAAGATTCAGAGTTCTTAAATGCAGGAACTACAGAGACAGATGATTTATAGGAAAAATGGTAGATTGTTTTTAGTAATGTTACAATACAGATAATTTGGCTCACAATGTATATAAGTTATCTTCTATTTATTTGATGATGCATAACTGCATATTATGAAAAAGAGAGATCAATTATCCACAGTATTTATTATAACACACACACAGTGGATTTAACACAAAAGTATGTGTATATAAAATAAAAAGAAAATAACATTACAATGGTGATTACCAGATGATGTAAAGCAAATTGGCTTTCCATTTATATTGTTTGCATATAATGAAAACTTTAATTAGCACAGCAGTCTGCTATTTTGTATGTTTATCTGGACAGTCTACAGTAAATCAATAACAAGTTTTATTTTCTGGAAAAGATTACTTAATCTTGAAAATACTTTAGCCAAAAACTTACTTTGTATTTGAACCTAAGTTAAACTAACAAATACATACTTGAAGTACTGCAAAAGTTTTTAAATAAATATTGCAAAAAACTGATCAATAACACTTTCTTTATCAAAATCTATGGATATTTTCAGAATACTGGATTTGGGGCTATAAAGCTCAATATTCAAATCTTGATATTCCATAATAGATGTTTATTAGATATTTTTTAACCATTGCACCCCAAGCAAGGCAATAAAGCTACTAAGAAACAAGGGGTTACAGCGTGTGAGAGAATATGAGGAAAAAAATAACAAAAAAAAAAATGCTATTAAGGAGAGAGAACAATAAAAGATCAGGAATTAAAAAGACAGAAGACAATGATTGACATTGCATTTAAATTATTTAAAATCAAAGTTGACAGGAAAACAAGAAGTCAGAAGAGAGTTCCTTTAAGCAAGAAGTGTGAGAGAAGAAACTTAGCACAAAACTTATGGACACATTTAACCATTTCAAATGTAAAATGATCAGACCTTTTGACCAATCTAGTCCTGTATTTAAATTCATAAAGTCTAGATACCATAGAGGAACGTTCATCAGAACAATTACCATGAAAGTATTTATAGAAAAGTCACAGAGAAATTATGTTGCAGCAGTGGGAAAGTGACTGAAGCTGAGATTCCAGGTCAGAAGCAATAACATTGAAAACTTTTCTTTGGATTTTATCAAGAATATTTAAATACATTGCAGAATCACCAGATTAAATATGGCAGCAATATTCAAAGCAAGGATGAGTAGCAGACTTATAAATATGTATATTCTTGCAAGAAAAATCATCTAGCACAACACAGTGAAACAACTTTCTGAGCAGTAGACTTTATTTGAAGATTTGCAACTTAATACTTCTTCCACATGGCGTAATGCCAGATACTCAGGAATTGCCATTCTGATTCAATGACCAAGAACTATCATTTCCCTGGACAACAATGGTGAATCATAATTTAGAAACCAGATACAAAAATTACATCAGAGTTCAAATGTAATTTAAATATCTCCTGTAGCTAATTGTAATAGGTGTGTTAAAGTCAATATCATAATTTTTTTTTTTTTTTGCTAAAAAAGTAAAAGATTAATAAATAACCTGTAACATTTCAATTTATATTAACAGTTATAAAGAAATAATGTAAAAATAATATACTAATGTATGATGACCAAAAAAATAAATAAATAAATAAATAAATAAAAAAATTAAAAAGTTAACTTTTTCTGATGAGGAAAATTTTCGTTAAGGACAATCTCTGGTTCTATACATTGGATACAGTTTTTATATCGTAATTTTCTCTAGTCATTCTTCTTACAAAGGGAACAAAGATTATTACAAAAAAGTTAACATGTAATAAGTTTCAGGTTTTTTTGTCAGCATGCTACCTTGTAAGGTGTACAAAGATACCAACTGATGCTGTAGTAAAATCTTCAGTTTAATTCAACACTAACATAGATTGCTGTCATGTACATTGCTGCTATGTAGCATTTCAGTAAGAAACAAAGGCCAGTAAGAAACAAAGGCCAGTAGAGAAAGTGGCAAAGTGTGTATAATCTAGTTATCCATGATACCAATAAACCAAAATTGAATATCTGGAAGTGTCATTACAATAAAAAGAGGAGAGGACATAATAAACAAAATTATCACAGATGTTCTTTATCCAAATGTACAAATATAAAAACTGACTTATTTACAGGATATTGCTATTAAGCAGCTGTTGTGTAAAGTAGATATGCCGTCATTATCAAGCACCTTGGTCATTAATATCTTCCTAACACAAATATACTTGGTTATCTCATGATAGTTGTAAATGGAGGCTGTTGTAAGTTTCATACATCCAAACTTGAAGAGTACCTGGATTGCATCCTCTTCAAACATTTGTTCATTACTAAAAGAGATTAAGATATCTATTTTTTAGTGGAACACTAAAACTCTGAGAACATGAAATTATTTGTTTTACAACTTATGTGGGTTATTGAAATAATATATGTATGTGGATTCTAAGAATAATTCATTATTTTTTTTTTTTTTTTACAGGTAAATATTTGATTAAGAATGTTTTGAGAATTAAAAAATACTCTTGCTGATATACATCCTATTTAACCCATAGCTGGGAGGATAAGATAACATAAAATGATGAAGCAAGCAAGAGAAAAAAATGTTATAGTAAACCATATTGTTATTGTGAGAAAACACTAACATGACAAGAAAAATAAAAAGAATTTTTTAAATAATATCTAATCAGTCAGTTAAGTGCCATATGATATACACACTTGAGCAATCATGTCTCTTTTGATCTATGACTATGGAGAAAATTTTCCTGCAATAGGTTGCCATTTCTTTCTGTGGTAGACTGATTGCCAACTAAGGATATAGAACCCTGTCTGTCTGTCTATGGAACCCATAGCTGGAGGGAGAAGAAATGGATTCATACCATTTACAAGGGTATTTGCATAAGTAAATTTAATGAATTCAACTGGAATTCATACTTGTATCTCTGATTCCTCATTCCAAGTCAATATCCATTATAGCACAATGCGTATCTAATTTATTTTTATCATGTCTCCAGACTGAATTCTTAATCAATTATTCCTTGTAATAAACACCCCTCATTAGAAACTGAAAAATACACCCTATAACCAAACATAAAATGTGCTAAACACAATGGTACAAATAAAAGACATAAATGAAGAATAAAAACTGAGGTTATACTTACGTAATATATGGTTGATGCAAAGCAACCAGCATACCATGGACTGTTAAGTCAATGGCACACAGGTGGAAATAATCAAAGAGGACAGGCACATAGTGATGAAGACCTTTGGTTGGACTGAAGTGCAGGTTCATGATACGTTGGCTGACAAACTCCATTTTGTCTTGAATATTAGATCTAGAGCAAAATAAGATCAATATTTGATTATTCAATAAATAAGAATATTGAATCAATATTATATACTTAATAAAATGTAGATGTTAAAATTGGAGGATAAAAAAAAAAAAATCACAAGCTTCAAAAACAATCTATCAATACTTTTAGATATAAAGAAAAAGAGAATGCATGGGTTTAGTTCAAACTAAAGAATATCTAGTATTAATCAAAATCTGTGCCATATTTGAAAGCTAACAATGTGTAAATTTCCAATAGCCGACATCTCCAAAGTAGATTGTAATTTTCTGTTAATATGGCATTAGCAATGAGAAAAACCATCAGAATCTGGTCAAAAATTTTAAAATAATATACTCAGGAATTCAGTGTTTTTCAAAGTATATTCATGATTTAATAAATTTTAAAGTAGCTGACTGTAAGTGCATTTTCTTGGAGACTGTCTTCACCACAAGTATATACCTTTACACAAATTTCGGTAAAGATTAACTTCAGAATGCTTAATTTTATGGTTGCTACACTGTGGAAGAAGTGATGTACATTATCAACTGGGGAAAAAAAAATAAGTTTAACTTTACCTCATGTTGATCAAGAAGTCTTCTCCCCCCCCCCACAAAAAATGTTTACAATTCACTATTACAATACCATTTTTTCTGATAGTCTTTGTAAAGCGGCCATGAAAAGTGATTTAAAAATGTCAAAATGAAAGAAATAGTAATTAAACAATAATGGTTGACAATACTTCATCTAATAAACAAAATATCATGATACCACTAATAGCAGTGTATGTAAATTGAATATGGCACCTAGTGATTGGAGAAAAGAACAACTTTTAATTTTATTTTCTGCCAGTCATAATTCTTGTAGGTCAATTGGCAGAGCAGCTGGTACTGTTAACCAGGCTACATGAGGCAAAGAATGTAACTGAGTCTTGCCAGAAACTTATTCTTTCTTTTCCATCAGCACTGTTTACTCACTGCCATAGACTGGCAATCTGAGTAAAAAAACTAACTAAAAAAAAAAAAGAAAATTGAGAGAAATACTAGTCAAAAATTGATGATTGATAATGATTCATGTAATAAAAAACAAAAATCATAAAAGTAAATTTTTTCAAAAGTTGATAGTTTAGCTACAAGTTCAAGAAGCAAATTACATTGAAATTTATTCAGTGTCTGCTAATAGATTTATGATTAACTTTCATTGATAGATATCTTAGCCATTAGCATCAATTGTTGAGGACTTGTAAATAGTACACCAAAATCTAGTCTTATTACCCAAAAGTAGCTGTTAATATTTTAACAGAGTCATCACAGAGTATTGTAAGTACAGCAAACAATCTTGGACAAAAGCGAGTCCCTGTCAACTTGCACACATCAGAGAAGCAATGGCTGTCAGCAACAGTTTCCAAATTATCAAATTGAAACTATTTTTTAAAATGATAATTGGTATAAAATAATTCACTCCTGTAGATTAAATAAGTACTTTTCACCTTTTTCAAACAGAATGGATTTCTAAATTTTACATTTTGAGGTAACTTAAATTTAAATTAACTGCTTAATTTGTACAAATATACAAGTCTATATCATATGGTAGAATTACTTAGATTACACTGTAGAGACATTTTTGAATCATGAAAACCAAATGTAATAAAATTACTGAAAAATGTAAACTGTATTGTAAAGATAACTTTATCAAGAATGAAATTTAATAAATTTTAATAGTTACGTTTCAAAATCATGTAACAGTAATTCTAATAGGACAATAATATGAAGATAATTGTATTTGTTTTTTTTACATTTAATTAGTCAAATGATGATATTACATTCAAAGGCATTTCAAAATGTTTCAGAGGTATCCAAGATAACTCCAGTAAATCATACATTATAGCAGCCAAGGCTATAATCTGATCACATCTAACTGCAATTATTGTTACATTCTAAATAGAAAGTTATAAAGGTTTGAGTAACTTAAAAATTGAATGACCATTTGTAAACAGTTGCAAGATAAATTTGTCTGCCATGAAGCATAGATGCTATACTGTCTGACTAATATAACTAATAATCTTTGTAGCAATTCTTACCTTGATTCAGCAAGAGACCATTGTGGTCAGTATCATCACAGAAAATGCTCTTTGATAATCGTTGTCATAGGACTAACTCCCCACCTGATGCAAATAAGCAAGAATCTTGCAAGGTGTTCCACTCCTAATCATTTTTTCACTGTATACTCTACAACCATTCCTAGATGCAGTGTAAATAAGCCAATACCAATACTGAATTGCAGTCTTGGCATAACTTGCTGCAACTTTCTGGTCTACAAATAGTAGGCTCAGATATAACACTGCTTCATTTTCTTATTCATATCTAAGTGCATGTTAGGATGAGAAACTAAAGTAGATTATGATCTGCTATGCCAAGATTTAGTACAAGGTTTATAGCCAGTAACACCAGAATTCATTTTTAAGAACTCCTGTCATCATAATCACCCTGATCATCAACTGGCCTAGAATATATATTGCTATCAATAGTACATGCTGTTAGCCTATTGCCAGTGTTGTTAAAGTTAGAATAATCATTAAGACTAAATTTATATATTTCCCCAACTTCCAATATGTTTATCATAATCAAGAATAGCCTGGTTACCATGGTATTAAATTTTGATCATATATCAATAAAAAATACCAAAATAAATTGCTAATTTCAAAGCATGCTGCTACTGCATGGTAGTCACCACATTTGATAGCATAACTCATATTTTCAGAATAAACTGTAAATAAATGTATTTGGTCAGCTAGATCTGACTAGTCTGTCAGGGAAGTGTTAAAAAGTCAAATCCCTATTAAGAAACGAGAACTTTTTATTTAAACAGAATAAACAAAATTTTTCATAAAAGAGTGAAATGGAAATCTAACATAATATAATGATTAAAGTAGTTTGTATTAAGAAAGCTAACAGCTTATCTCTTAAGATTATTGAATATCACATAAAACCATCATGCAGAAATAAATGATTGGAAGAAACAGAAACTGAAGAGAAACATTCTGTAGTCAGGGAAATAGAGTATATTTTTTTTAATAAAAAATGTAAAGCAAAAAAAAAAATAAATAAAATAAAGTGAAAATTTAAAGAAAAGAGAACTTGAGTAGAATGGTCAAGTCAAAGGAACTGGTCTTGAAAAAAACCACCATTCATTCATATTTAATTTTGTATGACTAATGTAGGTTGGAAAGGGAAGTGAACTAGATTACTCTATGACAAAAACTAAATTAATTTTTTAAAACAATTTTAAATTCTTAACAGTATTAATATTACAAAAGAAAAAATATATAAGTTGCAAATAACCATAATTGCCCAAATAAAACAGTCCAGCTCAAAACTTGTCAGATGATCCAAATCCCCAAATTGAATACCTGAAAGTTATTGACAATGAATAATATTCTTATCTGATCAGGATTATTTTTTTATGGTTGTCCAAATGAGAAAAATATAATCTAAGAATAAAAGATCTGTAAATTTAGGATTTAGATGCCATGCAAAAAGATACATTATGATGGAAATCGTGTTGAATAAGTCCCACTTCAACAGGTAAGTTACTTAGAGATTGATTTTTTTTTTTTTTTTTTTAAAATTCCCATGAACATATCACCACTACCACCCAAAGCTACACATCAATAGACATTTACATGCAAGATATGCAATGCCTAGTAAAGATGTAACAGAATTTACTCAATTTTTGTGAATTTCTTATCTACACAAAGATTCCTTTACATTCATGGCACAATTATGCAGTCTGCTACTAGAATGCAGAAATAATTCTATTAAAGATATACCAACAACATCTTTACTACATTATAATAATCTGCTGAGTCTTCTAATTGCATTAAAATTTCTTCCTTTCACTACTATGAAGACTTGTGTTTGATATACTTACATAGGTACATGAGGAAGTCTGGAACACAATTATGAAAAACAAACACTTCATTTACATGGATATTTTTTCAACAATTCCGTTTCCTGTCAAATTACTTTATTCGGTGGTGATTATTAATCAAATAGATCAAACCTTATACAGTGATAATTTCAGCTCAAAATTCAGCCAATCATTTCATGTTTGGCTGCAAACTTATTGATGCTCCTCATATATAATTTTTAATGGTAGTAAAGGAATATAAACAAAATATTGTTTTAGAATATCTCATTTTAAAAGAACCTTTTTTTTTTATATCAATGTCAAAATAAAAACAATCAAAAGAATATCCAACAAATTCACATATGTGCTCATCAAAATTAAGATTAAAATAAAATACACACGTTCAAATTGGCTATGTTATAATTTATCCAATCAATATTATTCTATTAAATCTTTGCCTGATTATACAACCTACCCCACCAAAAAAAAAAAAAAAATAGACAAGTACTTATAGCAGCTTAATATACAAATCAGAAGTTAGAAATTAAAGAATTTCAAGAAATTTTTCATTGAGGTTTGAAAGTGGTTTTTCATTGATGAATGTAACAAATAACATTGCTCAATTGCTATTTTAAACAACTGGCAAGCTACCAACCACATGCAAAACATATCCTGTTATTTTCAATACAGAAAAAAAAATGATCTAACAATCAAGATCTCATTGTAATCTTTAAAATTCCACAAGCAAAATGAAAATGAACCTCATTATCAGTTATTTATTCAATTGCACATTATATTTTATTCTGAAATTTTGTAATATCAAGAATCTTATAACAGCTACCAACAGTTTCCTCCAGAATCAATGAAAGCTGCAAAAAGAATCAATATAAAATAAAAAGAAAAAGACCACCAAGAATGATAAAAAAAAAAAAAAAAAAAATATGTCCCATGCTAAGGGAGCTAATCTACAAATGGGGAGGAGAAAAGCAAATACAATGATCAGATATTCATTGCAAGCAATAAATCTTCAAGACCATACAAGTTGAGGATATGATGGCGAGCTTGCTAGCAATTGAAAGTGACTGTTTGGAAAATCA